TCCCGATGTTCTGAATAGGTAGTATTAGGGAGGGACGATCCGGGATTCTAAATTGTCAACATTTTCTTATATAGGCCATGTTGAAAAAAAAGCCTTTATAAATGTATCTTACCATATTATCAGCAGTCAATAAATAACGCCTGAATGATTTGGAGCAAGAGGTGACATTCGTATTATAATTAATTTCTGTATGCACATTCTGAAGGATCAATATTATGTTCAAATTGAAGCCGTTTTGGCCCATGGGGTCCCAAGTACTTCCAATATGAATTAATTATACGATCACAAGTTGTGTTAATGATCAATAATATTAAGGCGTATTATAAATTTGCAGTCAAATTGTTTGTGCCTTGTGAATATAGAGCATATATATAGTCATGCACAATAGGATCTTGTTGCAATTGGCATATATTATGAAAATCCATGAAGTATATTATGTCTACTCAATAACAGCAAACAGCACTAGCAGTACGAATTGCAGTAAAGACTATATATAATACCGATTGTGAAATGTATCAACATCATATGGCCTTCTAGCGCCCTCTAGAAAATATCATTAATGTCCCGAGCTAGTGATTTTATCCATCTAGTAGAAGTGTTGAGTCAGCTCCTGTTTCAGTTCTTGTACATCAATACTTCAAGCCACGTTGTTAGAAGCTTTGAAAGTCATTTAGCTGTTAATATGGATAGTGTGTGGTTAAATGAATTAACTTTCGAAGATTAATTATGATAGATGATCGACAAAATGACGATTTGATTACGGACCAAATTAGTTAGTTGACGTATACGCTTGATTAATTGTTCCAAAAACAGATTGGTAAAGCTGGCGGAAGATAATGTTGTAACTTGTGAATGTTATTTCTTATGTGAGTTGTAGCAGTTAAAACTAAGAAGATTCATGAATAATAGTTTAGTATAGCAGCAACTTTGAAGAGGTATCAACTGATATGTTAGAAATATATGGTGTTTTAATGGCGACCGAATGCAAGGTTAAGCTGTTTAACTAGGGACCTCAACTTCTGAAGTTTGTGGAGTTGATTTACTTTAAGTATTATAAGCTGTCGCACATTAAACAACCAACTTTTTTTTATTGACCCTGTAATATGTACCTTTTTGACAAGCACTACTAATTGATACTGAACAGTGATCACAGTGAATATGCTTTAGTGATTCAGATTCCGAAAAACACAGTGGGGGTGGGATCTTGGATCTGTTGAAATACTTGATACCGGAGTAAACTTGAACGCAAGATCAGTGTCTTAAATATGATGATTTGCTTGACCATATTTTCAATGCCTATATACCTTTCCATTCTTAACGTCTTTCTATTATACGTAGCTGGTATATATCTATAATAAGTCCGTATATTTTAGCTTCAGGGTACCTCAAAGACCAACGGCCTTATATACTGAATCGATTTCACATAGTAAAGCGCCAATTTTTTACGAATGTGGTTTGACGTGTGACCTCAATAATTACAAATGATTACATGCCAATAGATCTTAGCGTGATATGTATATGTTAAAGTTTCTTGTTTTCTCACCTCACAATATTACGCGCGCGTATTGTGTAGTACAGTGCAGCAGCTATATTGTAATTTGTAATTCTTAACCAAGGGTCACAGTCTCAGATCATGAATCATGATGAAGTTCGCCGTGAGAGTAAAAAACGCCGAATGTACTTCAAAGTAGCGAAATGCTGAATCTTACAAGTTATAACTTATAACTCTTTTCATCAACAATTTGTTGCATACGTATAGATTTGAAAGTGTTGGAAATTGCATGAAATTTTTTCCTGTCTACTATCATTTTAGGAAAGCGCGCAAAAGTTGACACAAACGGCTCAATAAACAATAATGCAGTGCGATGTTAGCCAATGATGAACTTTGTGTTATAGATTATACATGGGTAGAGTAGTTTTTTTGGCTGTTAAGATGCACAATACTGGTTGTTTTCAGCAGATTAAAATCAATAATTACTTGATGCTGCAATATATTATACATGGCTCAGAAGTTCCCTCAGCCAAATTGACGAGTATGTACTGTCTTGATGACCACCAAAGGCTAGTATATTTGTAAAACAACAGTACGACGTAGTGCGCATACTGCACCCGACCATCATGAGTAGTAGTATAAGCAAGTTGCAACTGAACAGTACTATTGACCTTTTTGGGACCTGAGGCGCCCGTGTCTCAAAAGTATTGTAAAGAAGCTTGTGTAGTGTTGATTTTGAGATCTCAGTACTAATTATCTATCTGTTTAAACCCCGAGCTGAACCCATATAGATACAAAAGTGCCTACAATATATCGTCTAGTATACACCAGAACAATACTACCATCAAGCTGAAGATATGATCAATCGAACGTATAGTCAATACTCAACTCATCATTAAATTTACCTTTAGTTAAGTACGGATTAAATGTTGATTTAGCTTCAGCGGAATTCTCCGAACGTTATATGCACAAAAACTTTATTTCAAGATCAAAGGTCCGCTAGATCTAGATCAAGTAAATATAGTAATTCAATATTTTGACCGTTTAAACATGACATTACACATGTAACAAGTTAACTACCTGTAATATATAGTCGATTATATAAGTTTTCTTGACCACTTTTCAGTTTAACAGTAAAAGTTATCAGATATATCAGCAGCTTGGGAAAAGGACGTACACATATTCGTAAACTTTCCAAGCGGATAATAAAATATTGGACATGCGGCATGTCATATTGATAATTTGAAGTATCTATATATATTTCAATTACGTTTCTTTTCCTAGAATTATGATTATACTTCTCAAACATCGAAGATTTATTAAATATAGCCATTCTCATGAAATCTAAGCTCTAACCGAACCTCAACATGAAGTACCTACGTCAGCTGTACAACGAAATGAAAGTGCAAGTTGCAAGTTTTGTAACTTGCTTCTAATCTTGATCAGGGAATAATCACACATCTAGTGTCTCAGAAGTGGAACACGCGCGCTGTAAGTTCTAAGACATAGTGAATGTTCTTTTGATGAATAAAACTGTTTTCTGAACTTCTAGAGAACCTGGGTGAAACTTCATAGAATTAGACGTCACGACTCACCATATAGAATAATTGAGTGATTCAAGTACAGGGATAATATTACAAGTTAAATAACGTTAATGTAACTGCCACAGGTTGAAGATCGTTCTCTCTCAAACTGCAATACTGTAACATACAAGACCTGCTACTAGTTTCAAAGCTAGACATGATATATTGCAATTTGCTATATTGCCCATTTAGTTTTAACTATAAACATCATGCTCTAAACCTTGGATTATAAACATGGGCACGATCAATTATGGTTAAGTCAATTTGATTGTTCAATACGTGAAATTTATCATATTTTGAACACCTGTATATAGTTTAAACTTAATTAATAGAAACTAGATGAGAAAAAATTGAGCAATTCCTCACAAAAGAAATGTGATAATTATAGATCATAGAACTTTCTATTGTTTCACCACTCGTATCTATCAGATCAAAAATTATATCTAAACCTGAGCAAGGGAAATGTGAGTTCATTATTCAGCAGTAAAGAAAAACTTGAAACTGCAGTTAAAAACTATATATTGTTCAAGCTTCAAAGTTCAGAGATCTATTTTGATAATTTTTGATCATATAACGCTTACTTTAACGCCATAGTATAACATTCTTATTTGTGTACAGCGCTTTGGAAAAAGTACGTGGAATATCTAGATGAAGGTCAGAACGAAAAATTAATTGTAGTTGTTACACAAACGTACCTTGGAACCAATGTGGTCGAACAATCAAACGTTCTCTATTCACTAACACATATACAAAACATACTACGGTACAAACAATGTTTATACGCATATATTAGGATATGGGGACCTATCATTTATGAAACATACCGGGCTCCGTCTTGACAGATAGCTTCTATACATGAACGATGTCTGGTAGTTTCTATAAGCTGTTCAGTTCTCAGTGCTCAGTACTCACTGCTTAATACATAAAGACTTTTCAATATTTGTAATATGAGCTTAAGTAAAAATCGTACCACTTTAATATTTTAAGACACTTTGCAGTATTAAATTATAGAGATCATAAGCCGAACATGAGATAAGAAGTGGAGTAAGCATTATATATTTTAATGGAAGCAGTGACGTTGTGTCCAGTGTCCACTGTCTAGTGAACAATGAATACCATACCAGCTGAATGTATACCTCTCTTTATAGCTCAGTACCTGGTTTCATCGTGATATAAGTCTGCCCGTTAAATATGTGGTTGAGCAAATATTAATTATAGGACTAAGTATAATAGTTAATACAACAGTTCCCAACTGATCAGGTAGACCGAAGAGGATATAATCACGAATCAAGTGAATCACAATAATGAGATCTATAGAACGAATAATCCAGATTTCAGTTTCATCTTCTCAGACAATTACACCATGTAACATAAAGTTGAAAATGAATAAAGATTTACAGTTCTCACTTTGATAGTATCTTCGTTGATAATCAGTATATATTGTTCATGAATGGATTTATCATATGCATGGAAGTTGGAACCCCAACTCTATAGTAAATTTGCTGTTCCATGAGGTTCGTTAAGAATTCTATTATATGAGCTAATTGAATACGATATTAATTACATAAAGTCATTTCATGTTAAACGTCCTTTTGAGCATCTTATGCAATTTTTCAAGACTATACCACATCCCAAAAGATAGATAAACTTCAAAAGCCATATATATAGTAATGTAATATAGATGTTCCAGGATATATATTATCTCTAATAACATAGTGGTCCCCATTTTGATCTTCATATTTTCTTTTTTCTAGATTGTACAAAGTTCAAACGGTTTTAGAACTTTTGAATACACCAGATATGAACAACAAACAAAACAAGCGCAGTTAAGCGGATTATAATATATAAATGCGCTTCTATGCCTTTCTATTAGCATTCTAGAAGGTTCAATATTGTTCATTTTTCACCAAAAACAGACAATATTGATGTCCGCTGAAACTTCTGTGGATCCATCAGGTATACTCAAGAGCCAAGGCTAAGTGAAGCGAGCTGAAACTCCAGAATTACCCGATAAAAGGGGAATGATAAGATGTTAGCTCTTCATTTCATACAGAAACATCATCTGATATTCATTAAATTGTTTGAATTATAACTTGAGTAGCCGTGGTTATATTGCATCATGAACGACTAACTTCTGAAGTAGCAGCTTTTTAAAGTAACGCTGAACTTAAAAAATAACAATCCAATTTCTGAGTAGTTCGTATAATCAAGACTTCGCTCACATGGAATTTCCAGATGCAGAATCCCTCATATGATTTTGAAAAAGGTTGTGAGAATACCAACTGGTGATTGATCCATTGTTTTAATATCTTTCTCAAATGTAATCCCCAAAGGTTCAGAATTCATCAAGTCTAATTTGACCAGTTGAAAATGTCAGCACAATTGTATTTTACATCCAGACACCAATTGTATAATCAACAAAAATCGAAATTTGAAGGTCAATTTACTTTGGGGGTAGTTTTGATGGTAAACTTCCAAGTAATCGAAACAAATTCATCAGATTTGGGTAACATTCTTTGAATTCTATCACAAGACAATTCATAATAAAATAGAATACATATATCTGAAATATGGCTGTCAAAGAGCTACCACAATTATGTGAGTTTATTATTGTTCATCCCTTAAAATTTACCCCATAGATCTTTGACTAACAAAAAGGTATAAGTATCTCACGAAGAGATGAGAGAAGCTAAAATTCCATTAGCATGGCGTGATAGATGTGCTGCTCTTTGGATACCTCTAGAGAAATGTCGCCGTGAAACTTATTTTCTTCCATGGAAATGTACACAGTTAAGACATGATTATGAGCAGTGTCAATATTTGGATTTTCAAAGAAGAGTCAAGGAAATGGATGAATTGAAGGAGTTGAAGGCTGCTAGAGACCGTGAAACAGCTGAAGAGTAAGCTATATGTCTATTTATTAATTCTATTTATTATTTATTTATTTATTTATTTTTTGGTTACAACTTACGTACCCTATTATTTATTAAGATACACATGATTATTTATCTATTATGGCCGTCATGTAGTCAAGCTTGTAAGTTGATACTTATATATGACAATTCCCAAGACTCACAAAAGTATTCCTGAATGAACTACAAGAAATCTCTTTATATTAATCTTCAACATATGTATATAACGATATATTCTTCTATTTAACCCAAAAACCTATAAACAAACTTAAATTACAATATGATAATATGATAATATATAAAAAAGAACTAAAACCAATATAAAACAATCTTTCAAGTACTTTAATTGCACTCAACAAAGAAATTTATAGAAAATTAATAATGAAATATAATGCACAATGAATCCAACAAATATATCAGATTATATATAACTGTATATATTAATTGAATTCCCAATTATTTTTGCCTTTCCAATGAACTAGAATAATACATATAACCTTACTCATAATATCATGATATAAAAATAAAATACCCATATAAATAATTTGAACATGCTCAACGATTTTGTTCGTGAACTGGTGGTGAGATTGGTGATAATATAACACCATTTTGTTGTTGCTGTTGTTGAGATGTTGGTTGTAAATGTTGTTGAGGATGGTGATGTGGAATTTGTTGAACAGGAGTTGGAGCACCAGAGCTTGGGTGTGAGATGAATCCTGTTGCGATACCTTGTGGATTCATTATTGGTTGAGCACCTGGTGGTAGAGAGATGACTCTTTGAGGTGGTTGGTTTGGTGTGAGTTGTTGATGTTGATGAGGATGAGGTGGTAATTGTTGAGAAATTGGAGCAGGACCTGGTTGTTGATGGAAAATTTGGTTTGGTGGTGGTAATAATTGAACTTGTTGTGGATGACCAAATGGGATAGAAGCTGGATGAGGTTGATGAGTTGGAATTTGATTTGGAATAGCTTGCTGATGGTGTTGATATGTATGCAATAACTGTGTATCATTAACAGAACTTCTTCTTTTGAAATGATTCTTTTTGATAATTTTATTAGAATTTATAGCATTTGCAGCAGCTTCTGGTCCATCTCTTTTCAAAATCTTAGCATGGAATAAACCACAAGCATTACAAAGAGTTCTTGCACCATTTGGTCCTTTTCTCCATTCTGGTGTTTCAGTTATACCACAACGTTGACAAAATAATTGAGGTTTCAACTTATTCTCTTGTTGAATCTTGGATAAACGGCGAGTATAATTTCTTTTTGGTTTAATTTGATGTTGTAAATGATGCTGAGGAGTAGTGGTATAATGAGGATATGGCTCAACAGAATGTGTAGCAGCAATGTAATAAGATGGTGTAATTGGTTGTTGTTGTGGAGGGAATTGATGATGTTGTGGGAATCCTGTTGGTTGAGGACCTTGTGGAGGAGGCGGAAGTTGATGAAACTGTTGTGGATAAGCAGGCACTTGTTGATATTGAGGAATTGGCTGTGGTGGTATTTGATATAATGTAGGTTGTTGGTGTTGAACAATTGGAGAAGAAACATTGGATTTCTTTTGCTCTTGATTTTGTTGTTCTTTAGTAAATATATCAGCAGCAAGACGTAGCTTATTTAATTCAGGGTCTGAATGGGCTCTTTGATTGTAAGTAAATGAAGGCGGACTTTGCTGAACATTTGAAGTTTGTTGTGGAGTAGTTTGTAGTTGAGGTCTTGGAGCTTCATTGTGGGAAATTGGATGTTGTAAAGAAGATGCTATAGAAGAGATTGATGGTAAACGAATCTTCTTTGGCTTTGTTTGATCTTCAGTATCAGAGTTATTGGTTGAAGCTCTGTCATTGGAGTTTTGGTGATGAGGACTTGGACTTGGACTTGCACCAGCTAACAATTGAGTCTTTTGATTAGATAGATTTTTTTCAGCCATGGAATAAGAAGAGGCATACGATGCTAAGTCTGAGTTATGAGATGTGATAGCAGCTAGCTTGATCATTTGCGACTCACAATAACAACTTTCTTTATATGAATGTGAATGTGAATGGTATGCTGAATCCGAGTCTTATAAGTGATTATGACAGGGATTTGAAGAAGGGGGAACTGTGTGAATTTATAAGAAGAGAACCAACTGTTGATGAGAAGATCTTGAGCTTGTTCTATGTGTAACGTATCTTGGATGGAGAGTGCTTGCACTTGGATCTGGGTATCAAACAAGAGATGAGATTGATGTATTTTATTAAAACAAGAAACAAAGCAAAAATTTGAAAATGAGCTTGATTAAGTTGAGATGAAATATGTGGGATGTCTCAGCGGTTTTATAACAAAGTTGATTTAAAGAACAAACCAAAGAATTAACAACCGAGATTTCGACATCTTATTATACCAAATCTCAAATCTGTCTTGTAACTGATTTCAACTTTTTTTTTTAGATACAAACAAAATAAAGTTAGGATTAGAATTTTGCAGCTTGAAGAAAATAGGTTCGCTAATCAATCTCACTTCTCTTATGCGCTGTATACTTCTAAAAATCAAATGCACACCGAATTGCATATAAGTACAGCTTTCTCTTCTTATCGATGTCGTGAATCAGAGAGTGGCCTTAATGACAAGTACCAGTGTGAATCACCATAGAAAGGCATCAAATTTAACATTTTTGCAGTCTGCGGGAATGCACCTTGATGTACCTCAGATACATGATGCATAACTTTTAAGTTATTCTTGAATGTGGCCTTACCTGAACATTTTAACAAACCCTCTCTGGCAGGATGCATTAGGGATGTGGGAAATATGCAGATGTCGTTCTCGAACCGTCCATCTTGCAACTTTGAACTTTGTGAAATCTTTCGTTAGGTGGGATCTGGTCAAGGCAGATCTGATTTTTAGTTGAATTTCCAGTTTTTTTTTTTTAAGCACTGAATCTAGCAATTGTTTAAAACTGAGCCGATGGGCATCTTGCCATATCTTCGAAGAAAATTAGGCGGATATTGTTTTCTTCCCAGGGGGACCGCCACCTGCTCAGTGCTCGCCTAATGTCAACTTGCAAGCCGTGTGGAGGAGGAGATTTTTGTTTTAAACTTAGTTCTAATCAGCCTAAATCTACACACTGGGGCAGAAAACTTGAATTAGTGGTACGTTTCGCGTGCCATTTTCATATATTATGGGTTGATCAGATACATGAATTACATAGATTCTGATTCAAGATTAGAGTTTATGCTTACTCAAGTTATTAATATTATATCTCTCAAGTTTGATTCACGTTTCTACTTGTGGTTCCATCTGGTTTGAAAACAGCGGAGTATAAGTGCCCAATCTTGCGATTGAAACTGTTTAAGGGTCATCAATTAATTATCTCAACTCGTTTAGGAGTGTTTAAGGGTGCAGTGTCTGAGAGTTACAAACATACAATTCAAGAGAAATTATAAAGTACCTCAATTTCCACTATTATGCGGTATAATTTAGAGAAGCTCAAGAGTCAATATCATTTACTAAATTGTACAGTATAGCTCTGGTCGTCAACCATTTAGATGTGTCTTGGACATCTTCTGATACACTGTGAAATAGGTAGGTCAGCTTGCTAGGTATGGTTCTCACAATCTGATTACATTCATAATATCGTAAGATTATTGAACAGACCAACTTTAATATCTACTAGCGAATTCTTCCTATTAATCTTTTCTAACATTCTAACATGTCATGTGAATCTAGTATATAATTTTACTGGCTAGCGAGATCATGGTTTATGGTCATTCCTGATGAATCATGATTCAAATTTCGATCACAGTGTATAACTTTCGCTCACACTAGCTTTAGCTGATGGATATTCGTAGCACCTATCATTATATCAAGTTTAAAATAGCTTATAAGCATAGGTGTTTATTAAAGATGTTAAGCGCCTTCTCTAATAAATTGTGACATATGTAAGTTATCTAGATACGTATATGAGATCTCTTATATTCATGTAGCTCTCCATTACATTATTTATTAGAATTTTTGAACGCCTTAGCTGCTATCAAGCTTCAAAATTAAACCGTACCAGAGCTTGATATATTAACCAAATTGCTCGTAATTATATGTACTAGCTGATCTTGTACACCTAGAAAGTACGAGCGGAATTAGATTCAGAGCTTGTAAGCTGATCATCACGTCGTTTTTATGATAAATTATACACAGATGATATGTAAAAGGATGAATGCTAGGCCTAATGTCGACAAAGTAAGCTATATACAACATTTTCTCAGATATGGGTATATTGAATTACACCGACCATTTGAAGCTGATCAATATATAAAAATTATCTTTTTACCAAAGATCTAAACTACTAGTATTTGATGGTGGTATATAGTGTAACCAAGCCACAACTAACTCCTTTTATATATAAAGGGCTGAAATATATAGACGCGTAAATATAGTATATGATATTTGAAGATCTCAATGTCACTTAATGAACATCGATTTACAGACGTAAATGGTCCCTTGTTTATCTCAGACATCATTTTGTTACACATATATTTTAAATTGAAGTACAAGCTGTAGATTATCAAAGCGAGATCTATTACGTCTTTGATACTCAGTATACCAATTTGGTTAAAAGCACGCTTTGACCCGAAATGGATGATTTAATGAATATATATTAGGATTCCTTCATGATAATTAACCTACCAGCTAGATTTAGGTTGTCTAAGCTAGTCACACATGTCTTTAATTGATTAGCTTAACATCCTGTCCAATTATAGTTTTTCATAAATGGACTAATAACTAGTTGCTAGCGACACCAATATGATCTAATTTTACCAGTCGTAAATACAGTTGCAAGTTAATATAAGTAAGTATACGGGGACCAGCTGGTCGACTAAGACTGACTTGCTATAACTCTAACCAAGATTTCTGCTCTTTAAAGATTAACTCCAACTAAATCATGCACATAATATTTGCTCAAATATGGCCAATTTCAAGATATAAGTACTTCAACTTTGAATCTCATAAACCAGATTTTGACTTGGTACGTACATGGAGTTTAGCAATGTCAATTTGACACATCAGCTATAGTTGTATAACAAGTAATACGTCTGAAATTGACAATTACGTCGTGGTAGACTCACAGCCTTGTCTAATATAAACTTGATAAGTACCAGATATAGTTCAGACAACTTCTTAGAGCTTAATCAGCAGCTAAGAGTGACTATAACAGAAGAAATCCAGCAGCCAATTCCATGTGGGTATAATAGATTCTGAAATTTCATGTTTATACCGGCAGAGTATACTACCATATTCTAGTAATATAATAGTGTACTAGTGATATAGTTTTAGGATCAGTAGCTCCAGCCTAGACTTCAAACGACGTATAGTACTACATATCTAGTCTGGAGCTAATTTCATATGTAAGATTAATGATAAAGGGGGTTCGGTACTTGGGTCCCTGGACAACCTGAAATATCAAAACCTGATAATCTGGTTGAATTAATTATAGCTTTGTTTGGGTAGAGTATAAGGATATTATCTAGGTAGTAAGTTAATTTATTGATTCATTGATACTGGGTGTCAAGTCATATACAATTAGCTCATAAATGCGCTGTATCTCGCTTAAACCATTATAGTATAATTATACCCGCGTGAATAGGTCAATCCGGAATTAAAAGGATATTGGTGAACTAATTTCTATTGGGCCCAGTTAAAGTACTAATTGTATAAATTACTAGATTAAATTGATTATAACTGATCGCAATATATTTGTATGGGTTAATCCAGATGACTTAGTATTTCTTGCTCTCAATTTTCAAGGGCAGTAGTCAAAAGTAAATACCATATAGCCTTAGGGTACACGTCTTCGTCCTCCTACTTCAGTTGCCATGTTACTTGCGTGTTTGACAGGGATCTGCAAAGACCTTTCAAATTTTAGCCTCACTTTCAACTAGCACTTTTAACACTAAATACGTATAAATACAGTCCAGAATGCTTATGCTGTATAAGTAATCAGATCAGGAGATCCTTAAGTATCTCAGCTAAAGCATGGAGTGCTATACTCGAACAACGCTTCCAATAATTCTATCGTTGAGCTGATCTTAAATTAGCTAGGAGCTTATGCATATAGTTATTGAGATTCGAGATCATGATAATAGAGGTTTGACTGAAGAGTCAAGACGGCCAGATCAGATCGAATTGAATATAACATCATGACATGTATAGCAGTTGTAAGGCAGTAGCGCTTGTAACTACTACTAACGGAGCCGGTGTTCTATAATATTTTAGTCTATGATACTATAATATCAAGGTACTCTACGATCAGGACAGCTTACGATCACCATGCAATATAATTTTGAAGCCTTAATACAATCGTATTTAATCAGGATTCAGTTATATATACGTCTAGTAGTATATAGCTTAGTCTATTTTATCTATATTAGATCTACTATATAGCTAAACTTCGAATAACATACGAGTCACGACGTTGCGCTATCTCATTTGGGGCTAAATTGGATCAGGAAATAGTAAACATATATATTGTTCAGTATACGTACGTTATACAGACGTCCATATATCACACGCTTCAATTCAAATCAACTCGTCAAAACTTATAATTGAAACATTTATCACATTGATATGCCTTATGCTGGCACTGTCGTATATGTACATCGTGTTAGTTAGTTATATAACCGTTGATACATGTAGTACTAATTTTGATTGATTTTTGAGATGATGTAAACGTTTGGGGGAAGTTTTTGCACTCTTACTAGAACTCTGATCATATATATGCAAAAAGTGTTATAATTGTGTTGTAGGAATACTTGATTTAATGATCTTGCAGTTAGGTCGCCTAGCTTATAATTACTTAATATAAATTTTCCCAAGTTGAACCGTTGAACGTTATAGCTGCTTTTAGCATTAAACTCTAATATGCCTTGATTAATCAAGTCTTTTATAGAAGAGTTCATAAATCCAATACTATTCTATAATAAACTATATTAAGCTGTATGTTAGTACGTTAACAAGCTCATGCCCAAGCTCTTCGAAATTATAAGCAGCTTAAGCTAATAAAACTACAAAATGGTCACTTAATAATGCTAATATACCGATCCCATCGGAAACATGCATGTGCTTTAGAAGTAAATTGATGTAGCATCTGAATGAGATTGTGGGTATACGTAGACTAGGTATATGTATCTACACTCAAGAGTCAATATGTATCACCATGAAACAATATACAGTTTTATGAACACAATTTAAAGCCAGTGGTGTGAAAGTTGGCTCAAATTATGGACAGAATTTCAAAGTACTTGGTGATTGGCTTTGACTTAGTTCGATCAACAGTTGTGTTTTAGGCTGAAACAATATATTATGATACACACGTCTAGCTCTGAGAATTTATGACTGATTCGATCTCACCTCCAAGTTTCAAAATAATCAATATATAGTGGATTTGAGCTTTGTGATGGGCGTTAAAGGAAGGCTGTGATAGAGTATATACGATCCTAGCTGCTCAATACAACCGCTATGTACAACTTAATCTTAAGTTTAATTAATGAGCGACGTGTAAACTTCTCATGCACACGCGGGTTTAACATAAGCTCCATATAATATAGTGTAGCACGTAGTACTATATAATTTTATTCAAATGGCAATTTTTGAGTAACTTAAGGCATATTTAGAGTAACTTAGGGCAGTGGTTTACGCAAAACATAAATGGGAATTTTCGTAACGAATCGGTATACGGTCGATGATTATTATTAGCGTGCATGCTGGCATTTGCAAAGAATGCTCCAGGTGTTAAATTACCAAGATGATTTTAAGAGGGGCTACATAATATTCGTCCTAGCTAAATCGATCAATGATTTACTAGTTTATAAGCTATGTTAAGTGCTTAAATTGAGATCAGAGATCAGTAGGCTTGTTCATGGTGTTGAAATATCTACTAATTTCGGCATTCCAAAGCTCAAGCTTGTGGAGAAGCCTAAACACTACACAATAGTACTAGCTTAATATATACCTTAGAGGCACTTCACATATTTAAAGCACTTGTGGCTGGGGCCTACCTAGTACCTAGCACCTAGTAATACCCTTTTAATTTGTACTTAAGGCGACAAAGTTTAACTTTAAAGATACGAATTACACTCCATCTCGATTTCGGATTCTTCAAATCTTGCTTATTATCAAGAGATCAGATTGCAGATCTCGAATAGTTCAGAACTAGTCAAAATATTTATCAAGTGGGTTGAGCTTTGATGATCTGTTTGATTATCGATGTGGGTCTTCAACCATAAAACGCACTCATTCAATCAGAAGTTAGAGCGTACAATAGTCTAATATATGTGAAAGCTGCTTTATTTAAGTAGTTTATAGTTGTAAGTTGTTATCACAATTGCATTCTGTTAGACCTTGGCTGCCTCTAAAGGAGAAGATTATATATAGGGATGTTTAACATCAAAGGATCGTCAAAAATAAGGCTGACTAGAAACATAGACAGTCTGTGTACGCCTAAATCTTGACTAAAAACTACCGGGATAAGGTTCCACGTCCTCGTATACAATAAAATAAACCAGTATTAAAGTATCTACAGCTTATTATCGCTTGCTAAAGTTTAAATGATTTGTTCCTAAGAGTTCTTTCAATTAACATGTTGAACTTTGAAACAAGAAGAATCACAAGTTTATCCCATTTAAGACATCACGTATAGTGTTCCGCGGTTAATTAATTAAATAATTATCAATCAGATGAATCTGTTATGTCTAGAACACACTGAGATTATATAGCTGATGCCTCCAGACTCCAGATCTAAATGTCATTTGTAGTGTATCTGACCAGAAATTTTTATAGCATAAAACATATTCAATTTTTGTGAACGTCAAAAGTACTATTTATCGCCAGGGACACTTTATCAATATGATCAGGGATATTGTGATCGTCTAACCACTTTATATATTGATCCATATGAGTGTATAATTCCTTTATAGCCAGCATAACCCAAAATGACTGATTTACAAATACAATCGATTTGAAACAGTAAGGGTTACTCAAACTGTATCAGTACCTACCTTATCTAAAAATAAAAAAAAATGGGTAATATAAAAACTATATGCTGATTTTCAGACATCATATAACAGTTAGAAAGCATATCTGTTAGACAATTGATACACATAATAATGTAGCTACTAAGAAGGTAGACAAAAATCAGGTTGAATAGCTCAAAAAGTTCCAATGTATATGTGTCACTTTATCAAAACATTAATACAGGTAAGACCTCAAACCAAAAAAAAAAACCTAAAACTCATAATATAATGATGTACATCTATACAGTACAACATGAAAAATATCCCCTTTTTCAATCTTCACCAGCTGGGATTTCATCTTTCAATATTTTGTTTAATTTTAATCTCAATTCAGTTGTAGCATCACCTCTTAATACATCACTAACAAAAAAAACATCAACATCTAATTGAACCATTTCTAAAGCACCTTTTAAAACACCAACAAGAACATTTGAATACCATAATTCTTTATTTGATTTCCCATCATCTGGTAATTCAACAAATTCAGCTAATGGATTTTCTTCTATTATTAAACTAAAAGTTTTACCGTCACTAGTCCAATTCGTTATAGTTGGTATAATATTAAGGAAAATTTTAAATCCAATTTTTGAAATAACTTCAGCAGTTTCTTTAAAAGATACACAACGTCCTGTACCTGTTTTAGCTAAAAAATCTTCTATAAGCCTTATCCCTATACTATATCCCATTCTCTCTAGTTGTTGATTGACCTTAAAATAGTCTCCTGAATAGTCACGTACTAATTGTGCTACTACTGAACCATAAGTTAATGTAAATAATTCAGAATTCTACCAATATTGTTTGTTAGCTTGTATTTCTTTTTGATCTCATTAAAAGCATTGAAAAGGGCCTATACTCACAACTTTGTCCACTCTATTCTTCCATATATCATCACTGGCAACTCTAATTGTTTTACTCATCTTGTGTTTTAATAATGATCGTTTGTTTTGAGTCGTCTTTATAATACTTCTCCTTTCGTGTTCAAAATTATAATTGACGTTTTTTTCAATTTTGATCAAAATAATCAACACGGTTAGGGAAACATCATAATAAACTACGTCAAAATTTAAAATTTTATATCAACTTCATTCATCATCATCTATATATTTTTATTATTAAATAGTAATATATACTATATTATAAGTTTATATCTATTCATCGTTTAATAAGTTATCCAAGATTTTTTGGTATTTACCATTGGTTGCATTATTAGCTCTTCTTAATTTTTTTTCTGCAATTTCATAATTTGATTCTTGTTCTTTACTTTCATAATCATAAAGATTACCTAAACCAATGATAGCTTCGGCAACATCAACCCAAGTTTGTGGTTCTTCTTCATCTTCAGCTTTTTCTAAATAAGTGATTGCCTTTTTGGTATATTCAATAGCTTCTTGTTGTGCATCTTTTGCTGAATAACCTTCAATAACCAAGTCATCTTCAACTTCTGAATCATAAGTTATAGTGGTAAATATTTGTGATGGTTTTTCTGAAGCTTGTAAAAATAATTTCCCAATTTCTTGAAATGTAGATTTAAAAAATTCTAATTTTTGTAATTCTGAAAGTTTTAATTCTTTTTCATTCTTGGTTTTCAATTCTTCAAATTTTGAAATTATATTTAATCCAAATGTTTCACCATGTTTAATTAACCATTTAAAATATTCATCATGTTTGTTACGTAATTTATATAATGGATGTTTTTTGGATAATTTAATTTCTTGATCTTCTTCATCTTCTTCAGCATCTGAATCTAAACCTTCTGCAATATCTTCTTTACCAAAATTTTGTACAATATCTAATAAATCATCTAAAGCTTTCAAGATTTCAAAAGTATTTATATCTAATAATTCAAATTTTTTAGATTCTTTAACAATAGTTTCAGCTTCTTCATAATTTTTCAAAGCTTCATCCAAGATTTTGGTTAAATTTAATTTATCTTCAGATTGTAAATCTAATTTAGAAATATATTCTAATGGGATTCTACTTATTAAGATACGACTTTTAGCAAATTTTAATTCAATAGAATTTGGATAAGTTTCTTGACCTAATTCAATTCTTTCTAAAGCAGCTTCAAAATAATCTTTTATAGTTTTCCCATCAGTTTCATCATCTGTATGGAAAACAGCTAATTCACTTAGGGAAATAGCATAAATAGAATGGAATTCTGCAGGTAATTTATTATCATCTTTTTGATTTCTTAATAAACGATCACATTCATGAACAATACCATTTATAACTAATTCATTATCTCTTTCAGAGTTGATGAATGTATTCCATAGACCTTTCAATTGTGCTAATTCATCATCAGCATCAACTTCTTCAGTTAATTCCACAGTGATTTCATTAGATTTTGGTTGTGGGATATTTGAATCTTCTTCAGCTTCATTTTTTTTATTAATTTTATTATCAACTTCTGGAGTTTCAGATTTTTGTTTCTTTCTTTGTTTAGCAGCTTTACCCAAGCCCAATGTTCTTTTAGCCATGATGTAGTTCCTCGAGTATACTTTTGATGAGTAACAAAGTTCTAATTTCAACAAAAGAATTAAACGATGAATAATAGCCTGATGTATAATATTAAAATATGTCAAAAATTTTATTATCACCTTATGAAAAAGATTGTCAGGTGACCGAAAACGTGACTTTTCACTTAGATAATCACGGGCTTTGCGGGCTTTGAATGCGGTTTACTAGCCACAGAATCGCACGTGACTTTGGCTGATAATGAAATATTTTATTATCAGTGGGTATTAAATATATTGATTTGTATTTAAATTGTTTAGTTTCTTTGTTATTTTATTTGATTGTTTATTGAGATCATAATAATCAAATAATGTTAGCATCACTCAACTCCAAGGACGAAGTTCATCTCTTTGTTGGTGTATCCGGTCTTACTTATACAAGAGTTCAATCTACATTGGCCAATGAAGCACATCCAATAATCATCACAAATGATTCAAATCAAAGCATACCCACAAATTTAAAATATTTGATACAAGATAAAAAAATCCCATTAATTGAAAGACAATTTAATATTGAAACTGATTTATTAACTTTAGGTAGATCAAAAGTTGGTAATATTGTGGATAAATTATTTGTTAATTTACCTTCATCAAAATCTATATTAAAAGAACAAATTTTTGAAAAATGTCAAATTTATAGAATACCCATTAATACAACTGATTCACCAGAATTCTCTACATTCACATTATTATCAACTTATCAAGATGGTGATTTCCAATTAGGGTTAACTACTTCAGGTAAAGGATGTAAATTAGCAAATAGAATTAAAAGAGAAATTGTATCAAATTTACCAAAAATTTAGGTAAAGTTTGTGAAACTGTTGGTGAATTAAGAACAAGAATTCAAGAAGAAGATCGTTTAAAATTAGCAGAATTATATAAAGAAGATTATGAAAAATTAATTGAAATGGAAATTGGTGAACATGAAGAAGATTCAATTCAAAATTCAAAATTAAATACATTTGTTAGTGAATTTAATATGACTGAATCACAAAAGAAATTACAAAGATCAAGATGGTTATCACAAGTTGTTGAATATTATCCATTCAGTAAATTAGCTTCATTATCAATTGATGATTTATCTTCTGCTTATCATACATCAACTGAAACAAAATTAACTCCATCAGAATCATCAAATTCAACCACAAGATCAGAATCAACTCAACAATCAAAACAACAAAGTTTAAACCCAACAGATCAAGATTCAAATACACCAACAACAGATGTAATTGAAAAAGAAATCACACAAGATGTTTCCAAAAAGGGTACTATATCATTAGTCGGTTCAGGTCCAGGTTCAATTTCATTATTAACTTTAGGTGCTCTTTCAGAAATTAATACAGCAGATATAATACTTGCAGATAAATTAGTTCCGCAACAAGTTTTAGATTTAATCCCTATCAAAACTGAAAAATTCATTGCACGTAAATTCCCAGGTAATGCAGAAGCTGCACAAGAAGAATTATTAAATATTGGATTAGAATCACTTAAACAAGGTAAAAAAGTTGTTAGATTAAAACAAGGTGATCCATATATTTTTGGACGTGGTGGTGAAGAATATTTATTTTTTGATAAACATGGATATAAACCAATTGTATTACCAGGTATAACATCTGCATTATCATCAACTGTCAATTCAAACATCACTGCAACTCAAAGAGATGTTGCAGATCAAGTATTGATATGTACAGGTACTGGTAGACGTGGAGTTTTACCAAACTTACCAGAATTTGTTGAAACAAGAACAACAATTTTTTTAATGTCATTACATAGAATTTCAGATCTTGTACCTGCTTTAATTTCAAAAGGATGGGATCCAAAAGTCCCAGCTTGTATAGTGGAAAGATCTTCATGTCCAGATCAAAGAGTTACAAGAACTAGATTAGAAGATCTTGTTGATGCAGTGGAAGCTATTGGTTCAAGACCTCCAGGTTTATTAGTTATTGGTCATGCATGTCAAGTGCTTAATAAACCATTAACTGAAAGATGGATTGTTGAAGAAGGTGCTGAAGTTGGTGAATCAAATATCGGGAATATTTTGAGCACTTTGAAGGCATAAAATAAACACATGTATTTATAGATAATTTAATATACTAATATTCTTTGTTCTATTGTAGTAGTACTCACAGTATCACTGATAAGGAAACATTCGCGATCTCAATTTCTCCCTTTAACCAAAATAAACAAAACTTCACCAACTAACCAATCGTATTCATAGACTATAAACTCAACCAATAGACCAAAGCAAAATGTTTACTCGAGCAATCAGAACACAGGTACTCAGACCAATCACAAGATCTTTTCATTCTTCAATTCCATTGAGAGTTCAAGCCCATGAAGCTGGGTTTGTCTTTGAGTAAGTATAATTCTTATCATTAAGATCTTGAATCCCAAAGAAGCCCGAGAAACAGATACTAACCAGGAAAATGTTTATAGTATGGATGGTGTTCTTGTTAAAGGTAAAAAAGCTATTCCAGGGGCACGTGAAGCATTACAATTATTACAAGATAGAAACATAGCATGGATATTAATGACAAATGGTGGTGGAGTTAGTGAAAAGCAAAGAGCTGAATTTTTAAGTGAAGAATTAGATTTAGATATTGATATATCACAAATTGTTCAAAGTCATACTCCATTAGTCACATTAGCAAATAAAGAGAATCAACGAGTCCTTGTTGTTGGTGGTGATGGTGATAAAAGTCGTAAAGTTGCTGAAGAATATGGATTTGGTGAAGTTGTTATCCCTGCAGATTATGTTAAAACTATACCATCAATTTGGCCTTTTAATGATAAAGAACTGCTATCAAGTGGTAAAATCATACCAGGTATTGATGAGAAAAAAATTGATACTATAATGATTTTCAATGATCCAAGAGATTTAGGTACAGATTTACAAGTTATATTTGATATTTTAGAACAAGATCCTTCAACACCAGTAATTTTTTCAAATAATGATTGGGTTTGGGCAAATGAATATTCTAAACCAAGATTTGGTCAAGGTTTACCAAGATTTATAATTGAACAAGTTTATCAAGAAATTTATGCTAAAGAATTAAATAGAACCATATTGGGTAAACCAACAAAAGTTGCATATGATTATGCTCATCATATATTAATCAATAGATCAATTGAATTAAATAAAATTACACATTTGAAACCATCAAATTTAGCATTGGGACAAGAAATTACTGAATCACATGTTAAACAAGTATTTATGGTTGGTGATAATCCAGCTTCAGATATCATTGGAGGGTTTAACTATGGTTGGAACACTGCATTAGTCAAGACTGGTGTTTATAAAGATGGTGATAAGTTACCAGTGACACCAACAATCATAGCTAAGGATGTTTATGAAGCTGTTCATGGAGGAATCAAGCATTTAGGATTACTTTGAGAGAACCCATTTTCACTGAGAATATTCTAGATTCATAATACATATACTTCTCTGAGTTCAATTTGTATTTCCGTATTATATTATGACGCATTTCTTTTATTATTCGCGCAGTTTCTATTTTCTGTTTATGTCACCGAGAAATCTCAAATCATATAAAAATGAGAAATTCCACATTTCTAAAATAACACACTTTAATATTTTAAATTTGCCATCAAGAATTTTATTTTGAATAGAATACAAAGTACAATCACTAAAGCAAGCATAACAATGAGTCAAACAACAAGTCAACCATCTTCACAAGTTCCTGCTCCGGCAAGTTCTCAAGAACCAGTACAACAATCTCAAGAATCTATTAATAATGAATCTCAAATTCAACAAGAATTAAAAGAATCTACACCATCAACAACACCGTCTAAAATTACAAAACCAAAAAAGAAATCTAAAAAATTATGTCAATATAAACAATGTACAAATCAACATTCCATTATTGGTGATTGTCAGTTTTGTGTTAAGAAATTTTGTACAACACATCGTCTTTTAGAAGCACATGATTGTGAACATTATAGAGAAGTTAAAAATGAATATCATGAAAGAAATGCTAAATTATTACAATCCCAACAAACCGTTGTCTCTAAAGTCTGAGTCTGAGAGCCACTTTGAGAGTGGTTTTTATCTTGTTTGTTTTCTTTGAATTCTAGTAAGGGGGTTTCTGTTTATTATGGTGGCGAAATTATGTCCGATAAGATAACACCATAATTTTATTAGCTGGATTTTAAGAAAATGACATGAAATTTATGAATTATTACGAAATTTTTATACAACAACAACAACAACAACATTATATCATCTTTAGTTTTTCACATATTCTTTTCATGGGAGGTTACATTTACATTTTTTAATTTTGGTTAATATTTACATTTTTTACTTTTTACTTTTACTTTTTACTCTTCACATATTGTGCATCTACAACTTTATAGATCATGTTGAACATGACTGTTCTATAAGTTGATCATGACGGTGTTTCATCTTTTTATCATTATATTATATCCCATCACATGTCATGATGTTTAATACAGCATCTTATATATTATATATACACTATAATACCATCAATAGAAGTTGTTTTATCAGAATATATATATCATTGTAGTTCTACATCTTTGCAATATTAAATAAATATAATTATAATTATACAAAATGTTGAATAAACAACTGTCTTATTGAAAACCAAAGAAAAAAAAATCCCAAAATACAAAATACAAAATGCATATACTATAAATACCTCTAAAATGACCTGATCTCTTTTTTTTTTTGTTGTCTTGTTTAAACATCCATGTTCAATCCAGATCTAACCACCAAAATAAACAATATAAATAAATCCCTAGATTCAAATAACTTATAAATCATCATCAATACTACTTAAATTAATAGCTTGACCTGGTTTAAAAGCCGGTAATCCTAAAAATGGACATCCTGAACATCTAAATGCATCACCTAATGAACATGAACCACATCCACCAGTTTTACCTTCCACAGTAAAATCAATTTCTGTTAATTCTTTTGCACTAAATTGAATTTTTGGTTTCTCAACTTCTTTTGGTGATTCTTCTTCACCATTAAAACTAAAAGCTTCTTTTTCTGCTAAACCACATGTACAATCTTTACATGCTTTTCTTCTTTTTGGTCCATTTTCATTTGATGGTTCTCTTAAACATATAATTGAACTTGTATTCAATAAATTTGATTCAATTAATTCATCTTCATTAATTAATTCATCATCAGATTCAGAATCATCACTAAAATATCTTAATTTTTTATCAGTTTGATCAATTGGAACTGGTGATAATTCTGGAATTGAAGGTGATGGTGATGGAGATTTTGGTGTAATTGGTTCTTCAATTTGAACACCTAATGGTACAGTATTTGATGATGTTGATTCAATTGGTTTTTTAGCTAATCTTTTGAACTTTAATCCAGATAATTTTTTTTTACCTGTTGTTGATGTTGATGAGGTTGAACCTTCTTTTTTCAATGTGATTGGAACTGCAGATGATAATTTTAATGATTGTTTAATTGCAGGATGATTAGGTACGATATCAGTATCACCTTTTGGATTTAAATAATAAATAAAATCATAATGATTTGGTATTAATTCAACATTACCCAATACAATATTTGATAATAAAAATTGATCAATTTTTTCACATGAATGATTTAAATTTATTTCTTGTTTTTTATTTATAATTATTGATTCAGCTTCTGGTAAAGCAACAAAATTATGATTTAAAATTAATAAAACGGTTGACATTTTTGTTGTGTTGTTGTTGTGTTGTATTTTTTTGAACTCTTTTGTCTTTTGCTTTCTCGCGTTAAAATATCAGGTAGAATTCACACCTGTGATGTTATGAAACTTTGAAAATTTGTTGATAAAAATGAGCTAATAATCTAAAAGCTATGATGTTATATTTGTATGAACTTGAATTCTCTTGAATCCTTATGAAACTTGAACGTATTCAATTCTTTTTAAATAAAACCTTTTAATTGTTGTTGAATAAATTAATGAGTATAAATTTGATTTCTAATTTGACTTTTTTTCTTTATGCCAATTTTTTTCTTTTCTTTAAAATTACTAATAATTTTCTTTTTCAAAGGCCGATTTTGTAAATTGGTGAATGTCCGGGTAAATTCAAAGCCACAGTGCTGGTGATTATGTCAGAAAGTAGTAATCAGTATAACCAATATAAAGTAATAGCCAATAACAAGTGAGTATAATATGACTATGAGTGGTATAATGTTAATAAGCAGTATTTGATGTTTGATTGTATCTTTTTATAAGTTAAATATTGTTATATATGTCTATGTTGTTATGGTGGAGACTGGGTTATATATACCTAATTGAACAATCAGTTCACTTATCATGCTGACCAATATCCAATATATCCTCCACTTTGTCAACAAAGCAAGACTCAGAGACAGTCAAGGATTACTTTTGGATTACCAATTACCAATTGATTACACAATGATTACACCATTTGTTATCTTAAAGATCTAACTGGCTGAAGTCTTGTGAAGCGATTTCCGCAATTTCTCAATTTTTTGATACCAGTTGACAGAAGTAAGCAATTTGAAAACACCCAACTTTATTGGCTGTTTTAACCAAGTAAAAAGAAATCCATGCAATCATCGCACCACCACAAATTGAATACACACTAAGAAAATGGGTGTCTATGGGTGAATTTAACAAAGTGTCAACTTAACTATGGGGTCATTGACATAAGCTTAAATATTATTGGATAATGAAAATTATGGAGGTGATTATAATCATCAACGAATAGTTTTGTTTAGATCAATGATTATAATTAACTAAGAGGGGACTTTACACAGTTAAGAAAAACTTGGGGTGTATAGATTCATTGACACCTTTTTATTACTTTGTATCTTTACTTTCAATTAGATCTTATTGGATGTCATGGGTGCTTATTGCTTCAGGGGGTATATACAATAAACATGTGTCATTGTGTTTTCTATAGAATCACACATGTACAACGGTAACGGCCTTGATCTATAATCAGATATCTCGTATTTGATATTTTCCCTACTTTCCCTACAATTTTATTACCCATTCACCATTAATGCATTACTGATTAAATATATAATTCTAGAGTCCATGATGATCTTGAATTGAAAATGATTGACAAACCTCTATAATGATTTGATAATTATATTTTGACAATGATTAACTTTGTTGTTTAGCTGCTAATGCATCTTCTTCAGCAACTGTGACTTTCCTTATACCTTTTGTTAATTGACTAACTTTTTCTTTTGTTTCTTCACTATCTGGTTTCCTTATTGTTGAATCACCATTAGTATGATCATCTTCTTCATCATCATCGTCATCTAATGCATTATCATCATCGTCATTATCGTCATCATCATCATCATCATCATCATCGTCGTCATCATCGTCATCGTCGTCATCATCATCGTTATCATCATTATCAAGATTAACTTTATCATCTCCAAGATCTTCATCTTCATTATCATCGTCATCATCATCATCATCTTCATCTGGATAACCACCTAATTTATGAACAACTTTATCAACAATTTCATTATAGTCCATCATACCTCCCATGCCAATATCACCATTAATACCAATGATTTTTTCAACTGGTTTTAAAACTTCAATCCATGGCATTTCTTCTTTAATAGTTTTTAAATGTCTTTTAGTTGGTGCAGAATTATATGCATAAGTAACCATTGATGGAGCTAATAAAATTGGAAATTGAGTATTCCAAGCTCTAATAACATTTGTTAATAAATTATCACAAAGACCTAAACCAATTTTTGATAAAGTATTTGCAGTTAATGGTGCAACAATTAAAATATCAGCCCAACGACGTAATTCAATATGTAAAACAGGATCTGTTCTATTTTTCCATGTACCCCATTCATCTTTGTCTCTCCATATAGTACAATTTGGTTTAAAATCATCTCTTGAAACAAAATGCTCTGCTGCACTTGTTAAAATTAATTGAACAGAAATTTTATCTTTACCATAAATTGATTCTAATTTTTTAACAATTAATTTAATTTTACTTGAAGCAATTGAACCACATGCACCAAATAAAATATGTAATTTACCATCATCTTCTGGTAATCTTGGATCAATATTTTGATTTGCATCTTTATTACCAGGTTGTTGTGATTGTGTTTGTTGTTGTGATTGTTGAGATTGTTGATTTTGTCCACCAATTTGTTGTGAATTTTGTTGATTTTGTTGTTGTGGTTGACTTAAAGATGAAGGTGATTTGTTTAATTGAGGTAATTGGAAATTTGTTGATGGACCTTGAGTTGTTAAACCTTGATTTGAATTTGATCTACCTTCATCTAAAACACCTCTTATATTTCTTTGATCATAATTTGCACTCCCACTATTTGATCTTGATCTAACACCTCCATGACGTATAGTATCTTCAACATAAAAATGTGCATGCATATCTGGACTTTTTAAATAATTTTGTTGATGTTGATAATTACCATAATTTGAATTATTTGGAGGATGTTCATTACTTGGTGAACTTAAAACACTTGAACTTGGTGTATAATGTTGATATAAAACTTGACCATTTTGAGGTGAACCACCACTTATACTACCACTTTGACCTCTTTCTAAAATTGGTGGTGGATTTGATGATGATTGTTGACTTAAAATTTCATTACCAGGTGTTGATGATGCACTATTGGTTTTTGGACTTTGAGACCCCACACGATCTCTTGCAGTTTGAGCAGCAACGGCAGCTACTACAGCAGTAGCAGCAGCTCTACCTCTAAGAAAAGCACCACCAGCTGGAACAGTACCTTTAAGAGAAGCTGTACTTGGACTATTAATTAATCTTGAATGTGGATCATCTATAGTAACTCCAGTTGGTTTTGGATGTTGTAAACCTTGATAATTATTATTTTGTTGAGGATGTTGTAAACCATCTAATTGAGATTGAGATTGTTGTAATTGTGGTTGTGATTGTGAATTTTGTTGATTAATATGTTGTTCTTCATTATTAGTTTGATTAATATTATTATCATAATTTGTTTGTTTTGAATCTTTTTGTTGAAATTCAGTATGAATAATATTATTTATTGAATTTGAAGAAACATTTTGACCTGTAGTTACTCTATTATTTAGGATTGGAGGTGGTGAAGGACATTTTAATGAAGATAAAGCTAAATCAGTTGGAGTTGGTTGATTATCACGTTGTAAATTCTTAATTTTAACTGGTTTTAAATCTTTTGATTCCAAAATTTTTGAATTTGTAGGTTGTGGACCACTTGGTCTTAGATTAGCAGCATTTTTAGACTGTATTTGTGAATGTTTTTGCTTTATTTGTTCTTCAATTTGTTGTTGATATTGAGTTGATTGTTGTGTAGGATCATTACTAATTCCATCATTTTGGTTGGAATCATTCAACAAATCTGTTGGATAAACAACTTTCTTTTCACCCATGGTCTTGAGCTTTCGATATATGATCTCAAAATAAAGAAATAATAAGTTTTCCAATGAAGCGCCAATGAATTAGTTTGTTTGAACTTGTTATTCAAAGGTTTTTTTTGGTTGCGTTTAGCTTTTTTTTTTTTGTTAGCGAATTATTTGAATTTTCTCACACAATTTTTGAATTCTGCAATTTATTCCCTAACAAAAAAAAATCTTTTTCTGAGAATTTGAATTTTCAGGTGATGACAAAATGTAAAGAAAATGTAAAGAAACAAACTAGATCTGAAATGAGAATGAGTCTAGTGTGGTTCTTGTCTACGTAGAGCTGGTCAATTGTATATGGTATCAGGAAATCAGGTTGCTCTTAGAGAACGATATACCTATTTTGCTTTTATTCGTAAATCCCTAGGTTACTAAAATTTTAGAAGACCGTAGCTGAGCTGGTGTATGTTTGCATGGTTCCGTTTAAAGCTTAGGTGGAGCAAGGTGTTCCATTTGCTCCAGGCTGAATGAGTTAGGCAGAGACATGGTGGCGTTCAGCCTAGAGCTAGGTAGAGGTACATCGCGAACTAATTGCATAATGCTCGACAGCTGCTTTAATTTTTTGTACGTATATTAGTTAATACTACCAACAGGCTATAATTAATATTGGTTCACAAGATATGCTAAGTTGGGGATAAATTTATTAATGAAAGCAATATGGCCCAAAAATACTTGTAATTACTTTTTAGTCTTTGGAACTGGAAATTTTTTGATAGTTATATCAACAGCAGAACGTTAATAAATTAACGTTAACGGAAATGTGACTTCTCAAACTTGGAAAATTCGGTACCTATATCATAATAGAATTTTTTGCATGTCAGATGTATTTGATCTTTTCGACAATCTCATAACAACCTATTTAGTATTCATCAGTCTTATATTTCTTGGTATAAGCAAATGGTCTAATAGGGAGTGAATTTGGATTAGAGAACTTGATGTTTGTGAATTTGTTTATATGATGATTTTTTGAAGTTCATTCATATTTGAACGTTCCAACTCATGGTTATCTCTAATTAATATACGATAAATACTTTTTGAAGCACATGTTCAGTTTGTAGTGACTACTGATTTATAACTTGATTATAGCTTTAAATCATATAAATGATTGATTGAGGTTAATTATATGGACACGTCATGATGATCTAGGTTATAGAGCATAATTTTAATTTCAAAGCTGCTACTAGCTAGAATAATCAAAAGACAACATGACTGTATACATAAAAGCTAAGCGACACAACTCAATCATATCGTAACACTCTCAAGCAACTAGTGCTGTGATTAATTCATGTTCTATCCAAACATTATAAATATTCTATTTCTATGTATTATTATATACCCGCGCTTGATACTTATGTAATTACTGAGGTAATACTTTATCAATTGTCGAATTATTTCATGAATTTTTAAAAAAGATAACCAGCTTTATAATTTCTTGTACATTTACTATTCAACTGAAATCAAGTTACTATTTAAGCACTAAACTGCAAAATAGATATCCTAATGATAATAAATTCACACGGAAAATGTCAATGGGAAATAGTTTTGGGCTGATGTTCCCCGGTTGTTATTTTTATCGCTGAATTTTTGTTGTCTATATTTTACCAAAATGGTAAATGGAGTGCAGATACAACTAGATTATAATAGACAAAGTCATTCATACATTTGATCATATCAAGTCAAGATGATGGATATGATATCTATTTTATATACCTAGTGCATAGAATACATGATATGAAAAGTCTTGAAGTTTGTGAATGTTTATAATCAATTATTTTCCATAAGGGATTTGAAAGATTGAACGTTTCAAATCTTGATTATTTCATATATAACAATATTTTTGAAATAACACATAAAGCTTTCGTAGTATAATTAGACAATATGATCTATAATTATTCATGACCAATTATAAGTAATATATTAAGGTTATATACTGGAAGGATCAAATAAATCAGTGATTTCATGCAGCTAATTAATTTAAGATCGATTCAGTCAAGTTCTACTGAATATTATTAAAATTTAAGAATTATTATATCTTATCATGCCAGGAACCAGGAACCAGATCTAGAACTTTCAATTAATCAGATAATTGAACAAATTGCATGTATATATATATATATATAACTGGATCCTGATATATCAGGTAAGTACTAAGTACTTGTTCATCAAAGGATCGTTACGCCTTGACTATACTGATTCAATAACCATATCAAGTTTTATTCTTCAAAATTCTATTATAAGTACACTACGTCGGACATTGATCCAATAAAAAATTGTATATATGAAATGATCAACAATAATTTAGGTCCTACATGTTATTTCAACTTATTAGTACTCGAATTATAAGTGATCAAGACATGAAGTATATTGATTGATATCAAATATGAACAACTTCAAGACTGAAATCACCTCAATCGTCAACCATAGCATCGCCTACAATAAATATAAGTGATTAGAAGTACATATATATATAGAATCATATATCAAGTTGAAATTAATCACGATTCACTATCGGAAATTAATGAAATTCATGAGATATCTGTACGTCCACGAGCCGATTCAGGTACCAACGAGTTTGAATACGACAGGTACAATTTAACCGATTGAATAGAATCGAAACTTATATAATAGTTCTTTAATTAATTAACCTTGAAGGGAAAGTTTATGATCCATACTGAAATCTGTATCAAGATTGATAAAGTTCGGTTCAATGAACAGTATACGCCGAATAAATCACTTTATTCTTTGACATTAACAATAGATCATAGCTTGAACAAGGAATACAATCACCAAGAGGCATTTCATGAACACTTTCCTTATAGAGTCAATTAATTAGACGTGTAGTACATGATTATAATCAAGAGGTCTGGAACAATTGAATCCGAAACTCAACTTCAACCAACCAATTATGATAACTTTCACCATCAAATTGTTTCTATAATTAAAACATTAAAACAACCAGTGTAAAACTTCCTAAAATTTTAGCACTGTGAATATCAAATTTACGTAATTAAAAATTTAAAAATTTAATTTTAATACAGCCTCAATTTTAAAACACGAAAAAATTGAGTCTTCACGTGATCCGGTATCCGTTTTGGGAGCGTGTATTGCTCTTCTGTGGCGTATACCGCGTAGTTGCGCTTTGAAGCTTGCAATTTGGCAAAAAAATTTGAAAATGCTGTCATTTCACTGCGGGTGTGCAAATCCAGATCTATTGAAATATGCACAATCATGGGATTAGAATAGTATGGTGGATGGAGATTCAGAAAGGATAAAGGTATTTACAAAGGGATTTATCATAATTGATTGACTTGTTCTATTTAATCGGTAAATAGCAGTCATATATAGCTTTTTATTCCAACAATTTACGACTTTATACTGTATTTCTTGCCAAAGTTTAAGTTTCTTTGTTCTGTTCAACTTTTATGCACGGTGAAAAATAAAATTAATTTTAAAAAGCGCGTCAACCAAAAAATTATCAAAGTACCGGTCAACGCCAATAATTAAAACCAGTTTGAGTAAAGAACAAAATGGGCTTATTTGAGAATTTCTTATACGATCATCATGGCTAGAATGCTGGAGACCATTTGGATATGATATATCTATAATTAATTGATGGTTTAGAGTACAATTGAGAAAAGAGTGGGTCACAATACCATTACTACGACGTGAAATAAGTGTACCTTTGGCATTCTAGTATATTACACAGATGTGAAACCCCAATATAATCATTCACTATTCAGTCCAGTATTTAAGAACTATGTATAATAGTAAGTTAATCAACTCATATTGTCTTTCAATGTCTAGTAGTATTAGATTTCAGTGTCTTGTCTGTCGTAGTTACTTTAGTTCAGATCAACATGTTTAAGAAAATTGGACGTGTTTTGTGCTTAAGTAATGCGCCCATCTTTTTCTGAAAATTACTGGTTAATTTATGCGCTTCAGTTTTCCATCGCATGTACGTATTTTTATTTCTTATAAAATTACCCAGATTTTCTTTCATAAGCATCATATGCGCAGTCTGGAAATTTATCAGAAACAATTTATTCTTCCTCATTTCCACATAGTTCATTACAACTCTCACTATCAAAAGTCACTATCATCCAAGTGCTCAAGATACCAATTACTCTTGCTTATACCTAATAATCAAAAGCTAACTTAACAAAGTTCAAGTTTCTCAATCAGCTATATTTCATTTATTTTAAGGCTTCGGATAACTAAAATTTCATCAAAAGCTAAGTTTTAACACTTCCAGATTAGCTACAAACATTTAGAAACTTCATAGTATAGGATAACTAGAGTCAAGGAATACATTCCATACCTCAGATAGAAAGATTTCCCATTGATACATTGTTGTTTCTCACCATCAATTCAATCATCCCACAAGCGTTTTATCCTCAGCTCACAATCACCAAAAAAACGCGTAATTTCCAAATTGGGAAAAGCACCATTTTTTCACCTTTTAAAAGACTTTTCATAAATTTAAAGGATTAAGAAAAGGTTTATATTTAAGGATTTTTAAAAAAGATTCAGTACAACACTAAAGGATTTTATTCTCAAGATACAGATGATGAGCTCACCTTCTCATTTGCATCAGCCTTTGGGGTTGTCTCAATATCAAAATATGATGAATGAATCACCAGTTAAAGCTGCTTCATATTATTTTCATAGTGATAATTCACAATCAAATGAACATGGTCAATTACAACATGATTTAAGTTTCCAAGATGAAAATTTTAAATCTGGTCATATGAATTTGGATCCTGAAATTTCTCAACAATTTTTATATTCAGATGATAATCAAGATTCTTCAAATTTTATTGTACCAGTTTCTCAAAATGATTCAAATTCTCACTTATTACAATATCCTCCAAGATTTGATCAACATCAACATCAACAAGGGAATAACACTTTACAACCACCAATTCCAACTCATCATCATCAACAACAGCAGCAGCAGCAGCAACAACATCAACAGGGGCCTTTGATGCATTCTTTCCAACATAATCCAAATTCTTCATCAATACAATCAAATTTATACCCACCAATGGAATTTTTACCAAATAGTCATTCTAATAATAGTATAAATCAAATTCCTGAATCTACTTCAACAAATACTTTAAGCTCTTATGATTCAGTTCCATTATTAACATCATCATTAATTTCATCTTCAGTATCAGATAATTCTATTGCATCACCAATTTCTTTCCAACATAATTCCGCAGTTACTCCACGTCGTCCAAATAGACGTCCTTCATTTTCTGTTACTCCATTACCTTCAATTTATCAAACACCTGCCCAATTAACAGCTAGTGGTTCAGCAAATAATTTGAATAATTTGACTTTTACAAATGGTTCAATAACTTCACCAATTGCCCTAAAAACAGGCGGTGGTGTTACTCCAACTACAGCTTCAAGACGTCCAAGACATAGAAGAACAAGATCAAGATTATCATTAGATGCAAACGGAGCTGCTTCTATAGTGACTATAAATCCATCAAATTCTTTAAATAATATAAAATCACCAGCTAATTTTGCTTTACAAAATCAAAGTGGTTCACAAAGTGCAGGTGGTTTATCAAATAATAGTGGTACAAATCCATTTTATACACCTCCAGCTTTCTTATCACCTCATCAAGGTTCACCTGCAACAACACCATTAGCAACACCATCAATTGAAAAGAAAAGATCTCAATCAAATTTTGAATCAATTTCTCCTTCAATGTTGATGAATTCTGGATTAATTCCACAAAATAATTCAATGATGAAACATCAAGAATCTTCATCTAATGAAAAAAATGATGAAAATGATGATACTGTATTTATGGCTGCTGCTGATTTAACTATGAAATTAGCTTCAAAATTAGCAAATCAATCATCAGATCCTCAAAAATTCTTGGTCGATCCATTAAATTCTGATATTAATCAATTTAATATTGATCAAACTCCAAAAATTCCATATGTTCAACAACAACAACAACAACAACAACAAAGTCATCAATCACAACAACAACATCACCATGGAATTTTAGGTTCTTCATTTGATTCAAAACCAAACATTTCAAGATCTCAATCATCAATAAATTTAGCTTCAATTGCATCTTCATCATCATCATCAACAGAAAAACCTCATACAACAACAAATCCAAATGATCCATATCAAGTTAAACATTATGATATTTTACAACCACGTAAAAAAATTCAAAAATCAAATTCAACAACAAATATAAATGATTCACTTAATGGTAAAAAACCTAAAAAAGTTCATGCTTGTCCTCTTTGTGCTGCAGTTTTCCAAAGACCTGAGCATGTTAAAAGACATATGAGATCTCATTCAAGTGAAAAACCTTATGTTTGTGATGAACCAGGTTGTGGGAAAAGATTTAATAGAGGTGATAATTTAAAAGCTCATCTGAGAAAAATTCATCAACGTCCAATTTGATTATTATTTATTTGGATCTTGATTGAGTTTTGGCTATTTATTTGTTATGATTTTTTGTGTTATTTTGTTGCTATTATTGCTATTATATTGGATTGGTTTTACTTGGTTTAAACTATAGTTTTTTGCAATTTATTATTATTTTGTTTCCATTTGCTTTTATGTGCTATTAATGTTTTTTTGCTTTTATTTGCTTTTAGTTATGATTTATAACTTATTTCTCTATTCATTCCTTATGTTTGCATCTTGATTAATACTTCCATTTCAGTTATTGAAAATGAATTTTAATCATTATTGACATTTTCTTTTGGTTTCTACTTATTTATTTTATCAATTAAGGTTCTTCATAAATTGAAGTTCATGAGATTGATAAGAATAATCATTTTTTGTTGATTATAGACGATTACAACGAGTTTTTCGGTTAATTTTGGTTTTCATGTTCAAAGTTTATTCACACTCCTTTTTTATATATCATACGTTTGTTTTATTTTGATTTGAAGTTGTTATTTTGTTATAGTTGGGGTTGGTTTAAATGAATTGTTTCATTATAGATGTGATCTTTTTGGTACCCGTTATCAGATATAAAAGCCTGCAGGCTCAGGAAATTTCAAACATTATAATGGATTAGATCTTTATACTTATCCTAACAATATTATTTAATTTACTTATATATAATTTGTTAACAAAAAAAAAAGAATTAAACAATATATTGATAATTATACAATAATTTTATTTGTAAGCTGAATTTTGACGAATGAATTGATATCCTGATTTCCCACAAGCTATGCACCCAAGAAGCTCAAAAGCGATAGCCGCTCACAGTTGAATAAATAGTATACATAGTAACTTTTTTTGTCCCTTTTAATCACACTTTGTTCTCTCCAAAAACCTATAAAATTTCTCTAACAACAGCATCTGTTGGGAAATTATCAGAACTTGTGCTAATAACAGCAGAACTATTTTGAAATTGTTGATGCTTAAAAGCTGCGAATGCATAAAAAATGGCACTAAATAATAAGAAAATAGCTGGGACTAACAATGAAGTAACTTGTGGAATCAATGAAAGGAATTGAATAACTGACATTCCTAAATAGAAACCAGCTCTTGGCCAATTTTGATTGAACTTCTTAATAAAAGTATTGAAATTTTCACTTAATGGACAGATTTTCAACAGGAATGGAATTTCAACAAAGATCAAGACTAAACCTTGAACACTATGAAACCACTGTTAGTAAAATATCCACATAAACATCATTATAATATCAATACATACATGCAAATAATTGAAAACAAAATCACAATATTGAAATGAAAGATATTGGCAATACCCAATGCAATACATAAAATGATACACAAGATACCATTCCTATCATAGTGTTAGTAACCTTTTCATCAGCAAAATCTATTATTCAAATGTACAAAAACACATACCATTGACCGTAAACACTATCAAAATATTAGTTAGTTATCAATTCCCCCATAAAAACATACCAGCAAAGGGTTAAAGCAAAAAGTGACACTTACCTGAAGTTCTTACTATAGAAATCTTCTTTCAAACCTTGATAATTTATGAATTGAGTAATCTTGAGCGCCATATTGTCTTATTTTTCTAGTTTATCTGACCAAATGATTCAGATTAATTCAATCGATCTTTTGACTTCTTTGTGGTTTAACAGCCTGTTCTGATTCAAATCTATTTATTGTTTACTTATGAAAACCAGGCAGAAATCGAAATCCGAGGTCACGTCATGTGACCATAACAATAGTTAAGCTTCTTAACTATGAGGTCGGATCTCGGACATTGTTTGGGTTTTTC